TGGTGGTGCCCTGTGGGGGGGTTGGTTTTAAAAACCAGAGCGGAACCGCTGATTTTTTGGGGTGCCCTGATTTCAAGACAAATCTAATTCGCGCAATATTTAGTTTTGGATATATCATGAACCCAGTTGCACTTGCCCCTAGGTGATGGTCGGGACGCCTTTGGGAGAAGAACGCATCGAAGTGGTATTTGTCAAGCAAAATTCTAAGGGGAAATGGGATCGGCGCCAACCGGCATTGAATCATTGGGGCTTGGATCAGCAAGCGGTTAGCCCTACACCGCACACCATGGACTAGCTTCCCTCCCTGAAATGCCAGAAACAGGCCTATATCAAAACCCGTACACTGGTGCTGAACAGCCAGAATCAGACACAACGCGACGCTTGTTTGTTTACTTTTCGCAGACCGCCCTAGTTAGCAACCAGTTCTGTAGACCGTTTGGAGAGGAGGCGAAGATAGTTTATAATATGCCTACCATTGGCGCTTCGGTTTCTACCTGATTTCCCTTTAAACGGCCCCCTGCTAGGAAGGGTATCCATAAAAGGCAAGTCTATGTTGAAGTTTCAACATGTCCATTTTTTTTGTTTCTCTCTCTCTCTGTCTCTCTCTCTCTCTCTCTCTTGCTCCGTCAAAGCAGACCGCATTTCGGCGCAGTGAGCCAAGCACGAGTGGGACTTTTTGCAGTTTGGAGCTTCCGGGGAAGATCCTGCATTTGGGGCCTTTGAAATGGCATGCAGAACGACCACCTATACCAGGGCTCTAGAAACCTTTGGGTTCCGCGCACATGTTTCCTCCATCCTGAAAGAAACGCGCAGCATGCATGTTTTTTTCTCATGGGACCAGGTGTATATTTGGAGTCCACAAACCAAACCGGGTGTTCATTGTTCCTGATATGGTACTAGTTGAGGTTGGGGGTTCCCGGTTTGCCTTCAGACTCAACAAACGCAGAGGGTGTTTTTCCCTTGTGGCGTTGAAGCCCCGTAAATTTCACCAGATCACGATCTCGATCGGCACGAAGAAGAGGAAGGCGTGCGCCAGATGCCTCAAATGCTGGACTGCGCCGTCACATCTTTGCCTCACTGCAAAGTGGTGTTGTCCACATTCGAAAGCTGCCACCAGCTAGCCGACTTGGCAAAGACCCAAGATTCGGGCCGCATGTGAGAAATCACTGCGTCTTTCTGGTTTTGAGCAACCGCACGCCGGACAGTCGCAAAGTTGCAGAGTCGCCCACTTGCCAGGCATGAAAGACTGAGCGGAGCAGCGGCTGCGTATTTGTGTGGGCATGATGCGATCCCCGAGAAACAAGCCATTTTGCTCAAGTGCTCAGTTGTTCAGTGGCACCCTTTTTCCCTTCTTTTTTGATGCCTGCCCTACTAAAAATGGTCTTACCCAAAAAGGGTTCCCTTTGTTTTCCAGGGTCACTGAACAACTGAGAGTGGTGACCCTAGCATGGCAGGTGCAAGTACCTGAAGATCGGTGTTTGGGACAAGTTCGGTGAGGAGAAGATCAACAGCACAGACCAGCACGGATACCGAGCTGAGATGCGAGAGACTGGGGGGCCAAGTAGGTATGCGTCAAAATCAGGGGCCCGAAAATGGCCGTCTTCTTTTGGGTTTCTCCTTTGAACCAACCCTCAGACAAATGATTAGCCCATGTTTTTGCCGATTTCCCCAAGAGGAAAACCAAGGGTGGGTAGTTGTTGCATTCTTCCACACGTGTAACACCTACGAGAGTGAGATGGAGGTTAAGAGAATGGACCTTGTAGTTGGTTCCCCTAATGGAAGGAACCCCAGTGTGTTCCTTCCATTTGTTATTTTACCCCTTTGGTTTTAAGGGGACACTATCACTACTGGAAATATGGTCATAGTTGTTCCAAGCAACAAACGGACATGGAGTTGGCATGTTCACCGGTGTTGCACCTGATCATCCGTTGTTTTTTCCCCATGGCCTCGCACGGGTGCTTGTAGGTTTCCCAACGGACGAACAACGCAAGAGGTTTCCCGACAGACTGGCGGGTCGAGATGGCTTTGGCAGAGAGATATTGGACCGGGGGCTTCATTCTTGGGGGTTCATCCCCAGCTGAAAGCTATGGGGTCTCTGCCCGCTGTGTGGTGGTTTGGGCCAGCTTTCAGGGAGGGTTCCGGAGGGTCCCAGAGAGGGTTCCGGGGCTATCAAAGATACCACCTGGGCTTCTTTGTTACTGGAGTTGGTGAATTCTAATTCCCCATATGGAAGAATGGGGGGCTCCACTTGGGACTTAGCGCCACCAATTGGAATGTCAGCTTCAGAATTCTTTGGACCAAATCAGTAATGTTTTTTTAGTTTCATGGGGTTTGTTAACATTGGGTTCCGTTGCGTGCTCCATTCCCTGTCGGTTGATTCCTTTGAATATGATTGACATGGGTGTGTCTCTAAACACGTCAAGCCCCCAAGAATTTGGGCGCCCTCAGGAGATCCCAAGTTAGAACCTCCAAAGAACCCGCAAGATTCTTGCTGGCCATTGGAAGCGCCGGAGGTTTCACTACATTCCGGTGGATCACAAAGGCCAGTACAAAGGGATGGCCTGGCCGCCCGGGTTCGGCCAGCGAGTGGATGAGCATTTGCACACCAGGGCCAACAAAAACCGCCAGGGCACTTGTAGCAAGTGGTTCTAGCTTCTTGAATAGGGATGATTGCAAGCCATATAATTGTTTACCAGGACACAGTGTCGACAATGTCTTTCTCTTTCGCGCTTGCTCTCGCTCGCTCGTTTTCTCATTTGCTCTTTTTCTCTTTCTCGCTCCCTATCCCTGTCTCTCGCTCTCTCTCTCTCTCGCTCTCTCTCTCTCTCTCTCTGTGTCTCTCTCTCTCTCTCCGCTCTCTGTCTGTGTCTCTGTCTGTCTCTCTCTCTCTCTCTCCCTGTCTCTGTCTCTGTCTCTCTCTCTCTCTCTCTCTCGCCAGCTGATGTAATTTGCACCTAACGCTGCGAAAGTGCTGCGGCTGCCACGAAATCTGCACCTGACTCTGCTGTCACCCAAGCTGATGCCGCCAAAGAAGTGCGCGCGCGTCCGTGCCAATAGGCCGGCCGAGATTGTTCAGAGACTCTTGGAGCGCCACCGAGGGTTTGCCGTTTTATTCCGCACAGGCCCACGCGTGGTGTTTGTTTCTCGCATGTGTTCACGCTTCCTATTTCTTAGGCAGAGCTACCTGCAAGTAGTGTCCGTAACGCGGTTTCTTCAACATGTCCTTTCAGCATGTTGGAAGAACCCGGTGGCGTGGCGCTGGCCATAGTCATTGCATCAAGGGGGAGTGAAATGAAACCCGGCTTGTCCAACCCTATTTGGACGGTTTTAACAAGAAGGCAACAGAAAACCAACCACCTAATCCCTGCTTAGATACCCATGCCTTACCATAGCCATCTAATCCGGTTTCGGCCAATGGTTCAATCTAGGGACTCCCAGCCACTTCTGTGAGGGTGCGCCTTGCCATGGCCCCTGATGAGTTCATTCGCCTTCTGGTCCGTGCAAGTTGAAGCATGCCCACTGCTTCCGGGGGGTTCGCCGTGGGACACCCTTCACCTTTCGTACCTACGGAAAGAATGGTTACCTACTACAGGGGTAGAAGCACTGCGACGATGTAAGAACCTTTTTCCTGAATTGGTTTGGGGGTTTGGGGGTTTCCACGCATGGGCCCCAATACATTGCCAGGCTGAACCAGTTTCAACTTTTTCCCCTGGTTTCCTTTGTCCTTTTCAGCTAAGCGTTGTCACTAGCAAGGAGTCGGATTTTTGTTGGCCCTTCTGATGCTCGAAAGGATCCACGACGGCTTTTCAGTGCCCGCACACGTCAACAGCCTCGCCGTTTGGGAATCGTTCCTCAGTTGTTCAGTGGCACCCTTTTCCCACTAAAAATGGTCTTCCCAAAAAAGGGTTCCCTTTTTTTCCAGCTGAGGATCCTTTGGTTTTTCTTGCTTCCGATTTGCAGGACGTTGGACGCAAGGTGTCTTTTTAGCGGGTGGACAGAATTGTGTGGTTACATGAGTGTTGCGCAAGATGCGATTCGGAGCTCACTGGGTTGGTGGTTGAAGGGAAAAGGAAGCCAATATTTTTCAGAGGATCACTATTGTTGAGAACCCCTGACACGTGCAAAGACTGCTTTCGGAGGTTTTGTTTTGTCGCACCTCCCCGCTCCCTTCCAACTTCATGGGATTTTGTCCATGGGTGCTGTGTGACCAACAGATTGACTGCTGAGAGTGGACGGATGATTACATTCTTTTCCAGCTTCACTTTTCCCCGAGTTTGAGGGGAGGAACTTCGTTCCTTTCCTTTGAAGCTAAGCACGGGGTGTGCGCGTGTCCGCGCGGCTGTGCGCGGCTTTGAGGCCTATACAAAGGAGGAGATTGCTTTGCTGGAGCAGGCGCTTGGCGGGGTGAGTGCCTCGAAAAAATCGAGCCACATGGGTGTGGCTCGATTTGGGAGGCTGGTGAATTGCCCTTTTCAGGTTGATTCAAAGGGCAACCAACAGTCAAACAGCTATTTCCCGGGTGACACTCCATTTTCAAAGTCCAGATCCCTAGTTTGAGACACACCTTGGGCGTCCAGGTGGGGGTGGAGGCTTGCCACCTAAAGCCAAATGGGGGAGGTACCCCTAGCACTACCAAACAACAGCACCAATTGGGGGTGCATTTGGGTGTGCCTTTTTTAGGGGACCCATGGATGGTTGTCCTTTTGATGTCCCTTTAAAACCAAAAAGGCGGTCCCTCAAAAAAGACAAACCTGCGGTGGAGTGAGACTTGACCTGTCCGAAGGTCTCCTTTCATATGTTGCTCACCAGGCCTTCACTGAAAAAGCTGGTGTCAAACATGAACAGACGTCCTTAGAGACCGCAAGCCTCCTGTTTCCCGCGTTTGAGGCACATATTTTTGGCTATTGAATTGAGTTTGGGCATGCAAGACTTCATAATTTCCTGGTTTCTACTTCAGCGCTCCAATTGTGAGGCATGTAGGAGTTCGAATGTCCTGGTTTAGCACTCCGGCTCAGACCCTGAGATTTTGCGCTTCCAGGGTTCATTTCTTCGCCATGCCGGTGACCTGTGGAGACTGCTGCTGCCCTGCGGAGTGCAACGATGAGCGGTGCGGGTGCAAGTGCGGGGAGCCCGGGCCCCCAGGGAGTCGGTGAGTGAGACTGGGTGTTTCTTCGGCTTCCGCTCGTTGGTTGGGAGCCGAATCGGTGGTTAGGTGTCCCATTTACTTGCTAGAGCCAGTTTCAACATCCCCATGCCTCCAAGGGTCAGACAGTCAGGTATCTGTTTTGTTCCTTTTCCTTGAATAACGAAGCGCTTGTCTCAACATAGAACAACCCAAAAAGGTGACTTCAATTTGAAAAGACCCGAACAGGGCAGTGCTTCCCGGGGCCTGGTAGTAAACGCCCCCCCTCCCGAATGCACAATGTCGCGGGTCTTTTATTGTTGGAACTGTTTCAGAATTGACTTGCAAAAGAAAGTGCTCAGCATGCAACGTTCGAGGAAGCCAGTTTCAGGGTCTGTTGTTCGTGGCTTTTGTAAGGAAAGGATTGGGGGGGACCCTTGCTTTGAGAGAACAAAGCGCTCAGACTACAACTTTTGAGTAACACCTTGGAAGGAAACCACATTAAATGGAGACTCCGACAAGAAAACCGCTCACACAAGGCAGCCCGATTGATCATTGCAAATTGTGGTGGCCCCTGACAAGGCTTGGCCGAGTTCATCTAGTATTGGGTAATTTAAGATTACTATTGGCAATTTTTGGGGTCGGCTGGGGGGTTTCGTATTATTAGGGTACAGTTGTTATAGGAAGAAGTTATTCCCCACGGACAAAAGGTTTATGTGTCAAAAAGAAAGCATTGTTTACAAGTTCTCAATGTCACGTTCCTTTTTTTGAGGGGGGAGGTCCCGTCATGAAACACTGCCTACGGGTGTTGCTGTTGCCCGTTGCGCGTTTTCATGGCTTCCCGAAAAGGCCCGGGTTCCTTGGGTGCAGATCCCCTTTGCTTCGTCGAGGGGATCCATATTTGTCTGGTTCGTCTGGGCGATCAGCGCCTTTCAAAAGCTCCAGAGGGCGTACCTGAACAAGCAGTTGTCTTCTTGGTGTTCTCGTGAAACCAATTACCCTCATTAACCCTGTTTTGTAAAAGAAAAACCCTGGACCTGCAACCAAAACCCCCCCCCCCCCCCCAACACTCATACATTTAGGGAGGGGGGACCTAAAGTCGAAAAAATCCAGGCTTGGGACCCAGTCCCTTGAGACCTGAAACGGGGGCATGACAAGAGCGAGCTCGAGCCATGAAAGGTAGGTCCTTCACTTGGGTCCGATTTCTTGTTGGAGGTCTTGTTTGTTTGAGAGCAAAAAGAAAAGAAGGAAAAAAGAGATATCCCAGATTTTCGCCAGATTATAGGTCCTAGTTCCTTTTGAGCCAAAGGTAGCTCTTCAAGTCCAAGGCCTTGGACCTAGGAAACCTGGCTTGCAGTTTCTTGAGGCAAAAGCGACTCTTTGCAACTGGCTGAAGGAAAAAAAAGAGCCCACAGGACACCAGCTATGTGGGTTCCAAGTTGGGAAGCCGAGGCCATTTCTGGGGCTCCCAAGTTTTCACGATGCGGCCTCCGAGGGGAAGCTCTCACAATGGATGCGGTGGTCTCTTTAAGCGGACCAGTTTTTCTCATATGCTCCTCCCCCCAATAAAACAACAAAACAAAACAAACCGGCCAAAAAAACACCAAAAAGCGAAACGGCACCACATCCAAAAGCGGCTGTTACCCCTGAGTTTCTGGTCGCACCGGGACCATTTGCTCATTTCAACTCGGTTCGAGGTCCATTTTGACCTTGGGCCTGGTCTTCGTGGTCGCGGCAGCGGCCTTCTGGGCGGTGGGCTGGCTCTTTGGCTGGAACGGGCCCGACACCCACTTCCAGGCGAAGCGGGGCGAAGCGGCGAATTGCGCTTGACGCAAGCGGTTTTGGCAAATTTGGGGGAACTTTGTTGTTTTTTTTGGGGGGGACCCCTGGGGGAACCAGTCAACCAATCCCTGGGTTTTGTTTTGTTGGGTGGTTTTAAGCGGAAACCAAAGCAGGCCCCCTGATTTTTGTTGGTTGGTTTGAAGCGGACACTTAAGCAAAGCAAGCATTGAAACAAAACATTCGAATTTTGAGATACCCAGGTGCTTTCTTTATTTCTTGGTTGGCCTTTGTTTTTGTAGTTTTCTTTTCCTCCTGCCTTTGGTTGTTTGCTAGTTGTTTTTACTTTGGAGAGGGAACCGTTTTGCTTTGACGAGTTATTTGCCGTTTGATTCGTTTCGGCGCTTGTTTGTTCTGTCTGTAGTTTTTGACCAGCCGTTTGCTTTTTGCCAGGCGGACATGACGCGCCTGGGCTGAACCATCGTGGCGTTTGTGCGGCTTTCGGTGGTGGGGTTCCCTTGCAATGACGTCGGACCGTCCAAGGGGGTCGAAGTTTGAGGGCGTCTCGATTTTACTTTTCAAGTTTTACCTTTGAAGGACCACTTGGAGGGAAGTGCTGGAGGATGTCACTTTAATGGACCCAGTGAATGTCAGCATGTTGCTTTTGGCGGTGATACCTTCAAACCATCCTAGAGGGTAATGTTGAGGATGTTACTTCTATGGACGCAGAATTCAGGGACCCTACCACCCCCCAGTTTAGGTGAGCAAATGAAAGCCAACAACTTGGTGGCGCTCGTTGTTTTTTTCGGTTTATAAATCCGGGCATGCTGCAGATTCCGCTCAGCTTCGCATTTGAGTGGTGGAATGGTCTTGCTGCCCCACAAAAGCTTTTGGGTGGAACCGTTCAAACCGGATCACCCCCCTAATTGATAGAACAGATATAGCAACAAATCAGGGTCAACAGTAGGTACTCCGGAAAAAAACAAAAGCTATTGATAGGACACCCCCCTAATAGGACAGATTCTCAGATCTGGGGTCAACATGAGGTACCACTCCTTCAACATGTTCTGGTTCTACCTGGGCTTCGTGACCATGGTCTTCGGCGCGGCCTACGCCTTCTACGCCCGCGGGGGCAAGGCCTTTGCCCGGGAGACGGAGGAAATCCAGGCGCGGAGCGGACGGGGGAACCTCACCAAGCGGCTCCAGGGGGGGGGCTCGGTACCCTCTTTCCAACAGTCATGGACGTGGATTTGTTGGGCTTCCCCGAAAGGAAAGTCGCCTTCCAAAACTCTTCTGTCAACTTCCGTGATTGTCGCAAGGAGGGTAGCAGGGTTTCGTGCATTGGATTTTTTGGAGCTTCCAAAAGTGGCGATCGTTTCAATGGGAAACCACCGGTAAACTGCAAAGGGGACACCCGTGGAGCCAAAGAGACAGAGTCTATGTTTAGAGGTTCCAGAAGGTGATGACCTTTTATGTCCAAGCCCTTTGGGCAAGTGAGGAAACCCTTCAGATTAATAGAGGGGTGCTTCCTTCAAAGCATCCCGCTCAAATGGGACACACCCAAAAGAAAACAACAAGGGGCTTGTTGTTTGTCATGGCCTTTGTTGGGGTTGACAGGGAACCACCATGTTGGGGCTCCCCTAAAAAGCAGCCACACCCAAGGCAACCCAAGTGGCCACATTTCATGACACCCGGCCAGCCCTTTTGCCAGCGAAAATGCATCAAGACCATTGGCTGAGAACAGACAGGGGAAAGGGAGGGCTCGTCTTTCGGCGTCGGTTGGAATGCAGCGAGTTCCCCCCCATGTGGCTATGGGTCAAAATCCAAATCGTACCCCCAGTGAACATCCCAATCCCCACTATAGACTAAAATGGGTGGTGAGTTCACTACCCCAAAATGGTACCATTGGTTTTGACCCACAGCCATGTCCCTCCCGAAAAGCGTAGACTTGTGGCTTGGACCAATCAGTTTGCCGCCAAACTTGTGCCTGGGAACACCAATCTCCCTCGGGCACGGCAGAGCGGATTTCAACTCCTGTGGATTTCTCTGGGAAAAAGCGCGAGAAAAAATAGATGGCGATTCCTGGTCTGCCTGGTGGTTTAATCAACCACAAGGGAAACCCATCTATTTCCTAAAAGGATACCTATCAAAACCTCTGTCTGGAAGGAAGAAGCCAAGGGAGGTCTGAGAATTCTCCAGCCGGAACCCATAAGACCCATCCGCAAGATTCACACGGTCCAAAGGAAGACCACCAGGACCCAAAGGTAATCAAATGAGACCGGGTCCCTGAAAATGCCAAACCTTGAGGTTCTGGCGTTCGCTTGAGATGGAGCCAAGTCTGCTACCAGTTGGGTTGCCCTGGTATTTACAACTTCTGAAGCTGTTTTAAGCCATCCGGTTCAACCGGTGCGAAGCAAATTTTGTTCATCCACATCACTTGGGGACGCAACAAAGGAACGCAACAAAGGAACATGGGATGTCTGCTAGGGACCCCATAATTGTGATTTTCCCTTTGGTTTCCCTTTAGAACCATCAAAAGGGTGCCCTCGAAAAAAGACGCACCCAACTGGCGGCTGCGGTTTCGAATTCCGCTTTAGCCCCCATCCTGGGGCCCTGAAAGAACGCATGAGGAGGCGAACGAGTCCGCTCCGCAGTCCGCCCCAACTCCTTATGTCATGATGCCTGAGCCCTGAGATGATTTGATTTTCGGAGGCGGAGGACAAAAGCAAGCCAGGCGCTCGCAATGGATCGATCGCATATTGTGGGCAGAGAGTGCCGTGGAAGTATCAACTATGTGAACATCAATACTTATGTTGTGGCAGAAATGATCACCCCGAAAGCCATTGACACGACTTTTTCGGTGTTTTTTTTCTCCCCGTCACGGCGAGCCATTTCGTTTGGGGATGGAACCTGGGAGCTCACCCTGACAGAATCCAGGAGGTCAACCCACTCGGAACCCAAAGGGAAATTGACATATATATATATATAACCCTCACATAATAGTGGTGATCACATTAAAAATGATATTGATAATTATATATATATATATATATGGTACAGCGTTGCCAGCCCCCCCCCCCCACCAATGGTCATGGGTCAGACAAGTACCCCCCCCCCCCTGTGGTTGTGGTCCTGTGGTTGGGTTGTGGTGGTTTAGGGTTGGTTTAGAATTGGTTTAGGGTATATTTAGGGTGTATTTAGGGTTA